CTTGGCTTAGGTAGTTCTTGGCCATGCTTTTGGTTGTCTTCTTGCTATCAGCTTGCAGTATGTACTGATACCTGATTTGAGGATTTGAACAGGTATAGAACTGAGACTTGCAAACTTGGTTTTGCAGTGGGGTGGTGATGGTAATGGCTTAATGTGCTAACTGTGCCTGTTAGTGATTAGTCAGAAAAGGATAACATTTTCTCACTTCTTAAAGTGATGGGAGACTCCATTCATTCAAGGAAAACGTCTGTGTTGATTAGTTTGAAGATCCTGGGTTTTGTTCTACTCTGGAGATTTCTGTGGGGCTTTGAATATGTCAAGGTTTTAAGTCTGAATGTGGAGTTTTGTGCAGGTCTGGGGTCTCTACAAATCCCAGCTGTTACAGAGAATTTAGTTATGTGAATATGTATTAGAAAATAAATAATGGGTTTAGATTAATATTAACAAGTGAAGTGAAAGACTTAATTGCTTTCAGGTTCTGTTTTTTGTAAATCTGTATAGTATTAACTGAGTTAAAAATTAAATCTTGAATATCACGTATAAATCGAGTTTGCAAATGTATTCTAAATGCTGTTTTAAGTAAATGTTATTTTACGCAGTTGCATTGTCACACTTCAACAGCTAGATCATCAATTCAAGTTAATATCACAGGGTTTCACATCCCAGCAAAACCAGGGTTTGATCTATTGCTCCATGTAACATAAACTGAGGACTCAGCTCTGGTGAGACCTCACCTGGAGTACTGCGTCCAGCTCTGGAGCCCTCAGCACAAGAAGGACATGGAACTGTTGGAACGGGTCCAGAGGAGGGCTACAAAAATGATCCGAGGGCTGGAGCACCTCTCCTATGAGGACAGGCTGAGAGAGTTGGGCTTGTTCAGTCTGGAGAAAAGGAGGCTACGGGGAGACCTGATTGCGGCCTTCCAGTACCTAAAGGGGGCCTATAGGAAAGATGGGGAACGTCTTTTTAGTAGGGCCAGCTGTGTTAGGACAAGGGGAAATGGTTTTAAACTAGAACAGGGTAGGTTCAGGCTAGAGGTAAGGAAGAAATTTTTTACAATGAGGGTGGTAAAACACTGGAACAGGTTGCCCAGAGAGGTAGTGGAGGCCCCATCCCTGGAAACATTCAAGGCCAGGTTGGATGGGGCTCTGAGCAATCTGATCTAGTTAGCAGTGTCCCTGCTCACTGCAGGGGGGTTGGACTAGATGACCACTAGTGGTCCCTTCCAACCCTAAACATTCTATGATTCTATGATTCTACACTACTGCTGCTTAAAGAATATAGAAGCCATAAATATCACAGTGCAATTTGTGGAGCCTTCAGAAACGTTCAGCACAAGGGTTGCAAACTAACATATAACAAGCGGTTCACCACTCTCTGGTCTTCCAGACATCACCAGACTGTGCCTGAAAGGATATGGAAATGCTGTTGAGACCTGCAGCCTACTCAGGGCTTCTTCTCGTCATACATTGTGGAAAGAACCTGTATCCCTTTTCCCCCCTCCATGCTCTCTGGTAATTCTCCTGTGTTTTTTGGTCATAGCCATCACATAGATCAGAGCATCCTAACAGGCAGGACAGTGTGGAAAGGCCGTGCTTGGTAAAAAGCCTTTCATGTGGCCTGACCCATGCTACCGTGTTGTAGCTTGGAGGATTGCACGGTTAAGGTCTTCGGTGATTGGAACCTAATCTGTGCACTAAAGCCTTTCATGAGACTAGTAAACCAGTCCTCCATATGGCCACTGGTAAACTGTTAAGGAATTGGTGATTTGCAGAATACACTTTTAGAGAGTATGTTGACCTTGGGAGTCATGCTTATGAGACATGGAGGGGACTGGTGTGGATTTGGATTGGCCAGTGAACCCCAGAGAGATTTTAGTGTGTGGTGATCTATGAATTTGAGTGTCTATCTAGAGCAGCCACAGGAGAAAGGAAAAAACCCTGTAACAACATATGAAACAGAAATAGATGACGTTTTCCCAAGAACAGGAAGGATACAAAGATGGATCAGGCCTAGAATCCCATCTGTGACAAGGGTCAGCAGCAGATGACTGGAAGAAACAGGCAGATGACATAGTTGCATGCAGGGGTGGGTTGATAGCACCTTATATTAAAACCGGTGGTACAACTAAGAGTAATCTCTCTCTGAATTGTCTCTGCTCTATTTTGATGAGTCTGCAATAGTTGCCTTAAATTACCGTTTAGATTTCTGATCTACTTTCTGCCTTCTTTGTACTGAGTAGACCGGTAAGATTTTGTCTAAGTGGTTGAGAAAGCGTAATTGAGCCCTATTAATATGTCTTGTACTGAGTGAACAATCAACCCCTCACGCCTCCCTTCCCAAAGATGTCAAATGCGTGTTCAGTGCTTTGCACATCTATGGCTGTGGGAAAAAGGCTCAGTCATAACGATTGCGTTTGACTCCTGCCCTCAGATGCTGACTATTTGATGGGAATTACCCACAGGTACATAGAGCATGTGTCCCACTTGATTGTAACACGTTCCCTTCTGATGGATCAGGAGCGACTAGGCAGGGGAATTATCATCGTGCAGAGGGTTGTTAAGCGCTCGGCTCTGACTTCCAGGACTGCAATCAATACCAGCCCTCTGTGCTTAGGCTGGTTGAACACTGACACAAGCATATGCACTCCTTGGTGGTTATTAAATGTATTCGGAATAGAATCACAGAACCAAGTAATTTGGAAGGGAACTCCAGAGGCTGTGTAGTCCAACCACTAGCTCAGAGCAGGTCCAGTTAGAGCAGGCAGCTCAGGGCTGTGCATAGTCAAGTTTTTAGTATTTCTAAGCACAGAGATTTCACAGTCTCTAGGCCCTTCCTAGTGTTTGACTACCCCCAAGATGAAACATTTTTTCATATAGAATGAGAATTTCTTGTATTCTAGCTATGTCTGTTGTCTCATCCTTATTCTGCAGACCTCTGAGAAGAATTTGGCCCCATCTTCTCTGTGCTCTCCCATTAAGTCATTGCAGAGAGCAATAAGATTTTCCTTGAGTTGTGTCTCCTTGAGGCAGAACAAACCAGCTCTCTCAGCCTCTCCATGCACGTCACCTACTTCAGCACCTTGAGTGTTGTGGTAGCTGTTTGCTGGACTCAGCCTAGTATGTTGATGCCATTTTTATACAGAGGAGCTCAATACTGGACAGAGTACTCCAGATGTCATCTCACAAGTGTCCATTAGGGGAAGAATCGCTTCCCTTGGCTTGCTGGCTGCATTCTTGCTGATATAGCCCAGGATGCGGCTGGCTTTTGCTGAAAGGGCAGGCACTGCTGACTTGTGCTCAACTTGTCCACTGGGACCCTCGGGTCCTCTGTAAAGCTGCTTCTGAGCCAGTTGGCTCCCAACCTGTACTTTTGCATGGAGTAATTTGTCTTACTGTTTGCTTGCAGGGGTGTATAGACGCATGGTTTGCTTACATAAGTACAAGCACACATTATTGCTGCCTTCAAAGTGCCCAGATTTTTTTAATGAGTTCATTCTGTGATACCCTCAATCAAACTGCAAAAGTCTCTGCTTAAAGCAGACCTATCACTTGAGGATGATAAATGTTCGTGTTGCGACACTGTGCTGTTTTGTCACCGCTGTTTCATGCTGTGAGGGCACAGATTTTACCATGTAGTTATTTTTCAAGAACAGCTATGACAAGAAGTATTTTCCCTTCAGTCTTGTACTAATAAATTCTGGCTAATCTGTATTAGGATTACTAAATGAGACAAAATGAAGTAGAAAAATGCTATTAATGTCAATGGCAATAGCACCATCACTTGCCTTATGCAGCGGGTTGTAAGCAATGATAGCTTGACTGCTTGTACCATCTAGTTACTCATGCTCAGGCTCCCTTTTACAGCTGGGAGTCGGATGGTATTGCAATACGGAGTGGGGGGGGATCTGTGCAGACTCCATTGTAAGTACCAGTTTCCCCCAGATGGCACTGGTAGGAGTGGGCTACAGACAGGCCTACTGCAAGCTTTACTATCACCGTCCTGTATCTCTTCCACTGTGCAAAACCAGGATACACAGCTGGCTGGAGTCATATCAGTGCAATACGGCAGCAGAGCTGGCTCTGGGTGACTGTGGAAGCCCAGGCTCTGGGAAGCAGACTTCTAGCTCACATGAAGGATTTTTATGGTATTCAAATTCTGCCTCCAGTTGCTAAGAAATTAGTTCAGTGGTTTTCCTTACTATACATAAGAGATTTTTTTTTTTTTCTTAATGAGAAAATATTTCATGTCACATGCTGTGAATAATTCCCCCATGCTTCTTTTTGCTGTATGAAAACGGTATGCTTGTCTGGTACAGATTTTCTGGATAAGGTGATCAAACAGGCAAGTTCTGTGATGTGTTTACCAGCAACATCATTACTTAAGGCTGTGGACAAAATATTTTATATGGGCTTCTCTCATGCTCTCAGAGGAGGAAACTATAGGATGCTTCACGTGGCTCTCTTGTCTGCTTGGACTCTCCTTCAGTTGAAAGAAAGGGGCAGCTCTGTCAGGATTATATTCTGATGCCTGTTTTAGGTTGCCTGGCAGATGGGTTAAGTTCAGACAACATTAGCGATGAATCTAAATACTAATCTTTGAGAAACATTGGCTTCTTCTGGAACAATGCATATGTGATGGTCATGTTGTGAGTAGTAGTTTTCCATTGTTCTCCCCAAAAGGTTATGAAGTATGTTATAGCAGTGTCTTTAAATGTACTTTTCCCAGACTCCACTGCAGACTTTTGAACGGTCCCTATGGTGACAGTGCTGCAGTGAAACTGAAAACACAGTGCTGAAATTCTTCATTACAGAGGATCCTGCAGTTAATTCTCTTGAAAGCCATATTACAAGAGGACCTGTACAGTCATTGGCATGCCATGCAACATAGTTGTATAGAGCGTTAACAGTGCTGTGGGATTGCTTAGAAACTTCATGACAACCTTAAATCTCTTCTTGGCTGACTGCTGAATAGTTCTTTTGTTTCCCTTTTTTTTCCAGCACGAGATGAGAACACGGCCACTTTCCGTGGTTCTGAATACCTTTGCTATGACCTGTCGCAAAACCCCATCCAGAGCAGCAGTGATGAGATCACTCTCTCCTTCAAGACATGGCAACGCAACGGGCTCATTCTGCACACCGGCAAGTCAGCTGATTATGTCAACCTGGCCCTGAAAGATGGTGCGGTCTCGTTGGTCATTAACCTGGGGTCTGGGGCCTTCGAGGCCATTGTGGAGCCGGTCAATGGCAAGTTCAATGACAACGCATGGCATGACGTTAAGGTGACACGCAACCTGCGGCAGGTAATGGTGAAGGGGAGAAAATACTGGGGAAAATGTTGTTCTGTTTTATGAGGATGGGCAGTTGGGAGAGAGTAATGGAGAAATGGGATGCTCAGTGGAATCGCTAGAGTTTCTCCACCTTTTCTGGATCCTGGTATCTAAAGGAGAGTGAAAAAACATTAGTTGATGGGAATTTATCCCTGTTGCGATATCTTCATTTCCACTTTATTAATTTTCTGTTTTTTTCCAGTTTGATTTAATAATAAAAATTTGTGACATAACTTTACTTTCATCTTCCTTTTCCTTTTCTCTTTTTTGTTCTCCCTTTTTCATTTTATTGTTTCCTTAATTATGATTCAATCTTATCAGTAATATTCTTGTTGCATTTAATTACTGTGGGAACAGTGTCTTTTCCAACAGCCAATGCTCTACACCTCTTTCCTTTTTCTTTCAGTTTTGTTAATTGGTTTAACCATTGCCATGATGTCATAATTCTAATTCTGGAAGTCTTTTGTTTTTCCTTTCCTTTTTCTTTTGTGTGTGCATGTGAGTGTGCAGGTATGCAGGCTGGTGGGTATGTGTGTAATTATTTTAACTTAATAGCTTTGGAATTAATTGGCTGGAGTCTTTCTGAGTCTTCTTGATTCTCTGTTCTTTTTTTTTCTTTTTTTTTTTTGATTTTTTTCCCCCCGCTTTCTTTCTATAATGAGATTCTACTTTATTTCTTGTGTCTCTGCCTATGAGACTCTTCTGTTGGCTGTGAGGACTGGAAAAGTGGAAGGATCAAAAAAGCCAAGCAAACCCAGATCAATGCAGCACCCTACAATTCCACTTTGGAAAACTTTTTCTGATTTTACCACTGTAATTTTGCACATCTGCATGCTGCTTTTCTAAGCAGACAACTTTATCAGGTGACGTATTTGATAGTAGGCTAGTTATAAAATCCTGGAGCCTTCCTCGTGAAATATAATTTCAGACATAAATAGATAAGATAAAATTAAATAGCCTTGCTCTGAAAGCTGGTGAATATATCAAGTTGCTAAGGCCCATCCACTGCACAATAAATGAGGTTTACACTGTGAATAGGAGCTATTTGGTGTCTTCCTCATTGGTAGAGGCAGCAGAAATAGCTTGTAAACTGAGATTTTAAAATCAATTTGTGAAAACAGTGTGATCTGTTTATTTGCTCATTAATGTGAATATTAACACAGCCTTTAATAGTTTTATTTAAGTTTATACAGTGTCATTTGCTGAGAAAACAACTTTCGTGGTAATGTTCTACAGTAGTTAATATAAAAAGTATCTTTGAATATAGGATAATTTGTGCCAGGGATCAGAAACCGTCTTTACTAGTAGATGTCAGTGGATAATTTATCTGTTATGGGAATTTCACATCTTTCTTTTAAATATTTGGGGTTGAGGCTGAAGATATTTATTTGTCTTTCCTGTGTGAATCCCTGTATCTCTACATGCTCAGGATCTCTGGGTCTTTGATGCCAAATCTGCCATCAATCTTTCATGAGACTGCAGGGTTCTTACTTATGGCAACATGAGTCTATTTTCAGTAGTTTATATGCAGATGTAAATTGAATTTCTTATGCAGTGGATGAGTCTTAATGATCCTATTTCATTCAAATGTTCCCATCAGTCCAGTAGAGGGATATGCACCAACTGGTTGAGGTTTATCAGTCTGGAAGGGTCAGAATAGATGGCTTTATTGGATGTGGTTTTTATTTGTAGATGGTATCAGAATGGTTGGTCTCTGAATATCTTAGTATAGCTTACTGGTTAGTTTAGTTAATCATGCTTTTTATTTTTGTTGGAAATTGGTTTTCAATGGGAAAATGTGCCTGAAGGAAAATGCATCCTTGCTTCATGCCAGGATTGGTTTGGATCTTGAAGAAGCAGAAAATGAGGAAGGGTCGCAGACAAAACTGTGGATGCGAAGCTTTTGCTTTCTTTCCTAATCTTTCAGGTAGTGATTTTAAAATTTATTTTCTGTGTCCATGGTTAAATGGAAATATGTCTATGCCTCTTCATCTTTGATTATACCAGGGCAGTGCTTTGGTGATTATTAGAAAGCAGGCGAGTCCCTTGCCAGTTAAGCAGCACTGCAAATTTTTAATCCTCCTGATCTATTCACTATGGATGTTTTCATGTGATCCTGAATTATTAAAGGGTCCAACCTGACTGGGCAAGAGACAGGATGTTTAAATAAGATGGCTGTGCTCTTTCCAAAGAAAGGCCAGTCTTAAATTAAAAATAAATAGCAGAGTGATTTGGGGTTCAATTCTATAGATAGGCGTGACAGAATACAGTTCAGCCAGTAAATATCAATAAGGCTGGAATTTTTTTGAGTCATCTTTTCCCTGGATACTTCCATTTTAACTTCTGATCAAGTTCAGTCTCAAAATTAAGACATTGAAACAGGACCTAAAACTGCCCAGAAATTGGAATTGATGAGGCCTTGAGAAGAAGCAATCCTGCTAGTCCTGAAAGTTGTCATCCAAAAATTATTGGCAAGTTTAACCACAGTTTTTAATAAGGAGAAACCTTGAATGCTGCAGCCTTCCTGTCAGGTCCCATGCATTCTTACTTTTAATTGATATTACTAGGGATGAAGAAGTCTTAAAACCCTTCAATCTTCAGGATAAAGAGTTTGGAAAAGACTGAAAACTTGAATGACTGATAACTAATTAATACCTGCTGTGGACATTTTTCAGGACACAGCTAAGAATGGTCCCTCTATATCTTGACCTTATAAATGCTTCATTTAACAGCAACAACAACAACAACAGATGAAAACACCATTCTAAATAAAGCATAGGATGAAGAAGTTTTGGGTTTCTCCATTCTAATAGCAGCTTCCAGCAGCTTTATGTCTCCTGGCTTTGTCTGTGTGTACACAAGAGAGACTTTATCTGTAAAATACTTAACCATTTTTCAGACAGGCTATGAACCTATGAAGTCCTTTGATATCTTCATGTAGATGATGTAATAAAGGACAAAGGTCCTATCATTTATAAAATTATACATTTTGTCCTTTATTATATCCAATATAATCTTGTATATCCTAGATAATTTTGTGTGTAAGAGATTATCTACTCTGCATCTTTCCTGATGTAAATTCACCTGTAAAGTTGCATCCTAATATAGGTCACGTTGTAATTCTTGTTTCCAGCTGTGCTCACGTTTCCTCTGAAAACCCACCCCAAAATCAAACAAAAAACCCCTCCCAAACCCATTGTCCCTGAATATTGAAGCTTTGTAAGGAAGTCAGTAGCCACCTCCTAATTGATTGAAAACATCATTGCACTGGAGATAAATATATTTCTCTTTAAAATGAACTTTAAAAAAAAAAAAAAAAAGAAATTCCAGGAATACAATCCAAAGCTAAAACAACTCCAGGTAAATGGGCTATCAGCAGCTTCAGAATGCCATCGAGTCTGTTCCTCTGCTCTTTTGGGGGTTGGGAGAAGGGGGAGGAGGATTTGCATAATTTTTTGGTTGTTCCTTGAATTAGAGCAGAACTTTAAATAGCTGGACTTTTGCCCAGTACTTTTTGGAATTGTTAAATGTTTTGTAGCTAAGCTAGGAAAGTACTAAGTGCTGAGTTTTTTTAGATCAAATGACTATCACAGCAGTTAATCTCCTTAGAGACAAACCAAGTGAACCCACAGATTCCCTTGAGTAGTGATTGTTAATGTCAAAGCAAATCTCTTTGTTTATTTATCTTATTATTTCAGTTAAAGCTAAGCCCTCTTTCTGCCTTGTGAGAAACCTTTACTAGAAATAGGATCATGGCTATATTTTACCAAAGCTTTCAGAGCATGTTTGGGGCAGGTGGGAGGAGGAGAAGAGACTGAAGGTCAGACTTCCAGTGTCTGACTTCAGGTCTGCTGCTGACACTGTCTCATTTTTAGCATGCTTTTCCCGCCCTGTCCCGTACTCCAACTCTCTCATTTGTAAAAATGGATTTACTAATGCAACATATCACTGAGAGTGAGACTTCCTTGACAAAGAATTCAGGAGTTTCTGCTTGTTATACCCAAGTACCAAATATTATTATTTCATTCCCACAGAGAAATAAAATAGACTTGGGGCGTCATGTTCAATGCCACGAAGTTTTCGCGAGCTGATTGCCTTAGTCAGTGCGCAGCTCTCTGAAATTTGCAAGCTGATAGTTTTTATATGAGGCAGCATAGATCTTGCTTGTGTATTTTAGGATAGTTCTTGCCAACTTCAGTCATGCTGAAACAAGGACTTGGAGCCTCCATGGGCTGCACTTTCCTATTAACACTGAAGCTAGTCACCATGCAAAATCTGCTATAAAGATCTTGAGTTCCCCAGCTGCTAAAAAGTGAACAAGAAACAATGTGTAGGTTCCAACAGTTGGCATCTGCATGCCTTGACAGGGATTAGCAAAGCATCTGCAAAGTTCTGCTAAACCCAGCTAAGTGAACTGACTGGTGAATTCTCCTAGCTCCTCCATAAAATAGATGCAGTATAACAGGAGAGACACTAAATCTTGTCAGTCTTCTATCTTCAACCTTGACACAAGTGACACAATTCTTCCTACAATAATTCCCCGAGGCATTTCTTCCTACAGTAGGATAGGTTCAACTCCTATACTCTCGGATGACAGAAGTGAGCTACAGGCAAACAGCTGAGCACAGGCATTTTTGTGCTTCTCCTGAAAGTCACAGACTCACCTGCTGTAAAGAAACCTGCAGATTGGGAAACTTGGAAGGAAGACTCAGAGTCTTGGACTCATCTTCATCTATATCCTCCAGCCACAGGAAATATTGGCCTGCTTGTGATACTCTGCAACACTTCAGGGAGGTGGTGGTGGGTAGAAGGGAGTCATGGTTGGGCTTGTGCTGAAGGCACGAACTGTGTACTGTGCGTGTACATCACTGAGGGTAAGGTTCTTGTTTGAGGGAAGCACCTTGATGGGCATTTGAAGAGTAAGTATTGCACTGTTTTAACTTTGCTTCAGACTTGGATAATGTATACGAGGGTTGAAGTTAATGACTAATACCAGGGTGGGAAGGCTAGGCAGCACCCTTCTTCTTTACAGTCTAGATGGCATGGTTCCCCATAGAGTCCTGGTCATATTGTCCTCTTTCTCACTTTGTGTGTCTCAGGTGCCCCATGCCTTCTTTTGAAAGACTAACACTAGACCATTCATGCAATGTGTCATTTTTACTAACCAACTAATGTACTAACACCCTAACGACTCATCTTTGCTTTTAGTTATTTTAATTAACAATCGTTCTGTTCACGATTTTTTAATTTCCTTTCTTCCCCCTTTTCCGCAAAGCACTCAGGCATTGGACACGCTATGGTAAACAAACTACATTGTCTGGTAGATATCATTCTTATTGTCTCTTTTTTTGGGTTTGCCGTGTGTTACCTGCCTTTTCCTCCCCCTACCCTCTCTTTTTCCCCCCTCCTTTATACTTACTTCTTCCTTTGATTTTATTTTAATTTCATTGAAAACACTTCCTCCCCCTCTTTTTTTTTTTTTCTTTCCTTCTTTTTTAATGGAAAAAATGAGCAACAAAAGGAACTAACACAACTCTTCTGGAAATGGGGTTTGGACATTTCTTTCATTGGTTTCCTCACCTCCCTCTTTAGTTGTTCTTTTCTATTCCAGTGATAAATTGTTGGGGGCTTTGTCCCTTGCTTTTGAGTTTATCTTTCTCTCTTTTGCTTTGGTTTTAATTTTGCTTTTTTCTCCCTTTTTGGTTTTTTACTCTGAAGGTTTCTAGATCAGAACCATTGCAGGGCCTCTAGTCCGTGGTGGTGAAGGCTCTCTTTTTCTCTCATTCTTTTGTTGTGGCAACGGCTGTTATAGGCAAACTGGCCGGAGTTGTCCTCTTTCTCCTGATTTTCCCTCACTTCCCTCCCTCCTCTTTCTCTCCTCCTTCTCCTCCTCCCTCTCGCTCTCTCACTTTCTCTCTCTCTCTGACCTCTACCTGCCGTGGCCGACAGGAGCTCAGCCAGTTGTTTGTTTCAGTACACACTCTGCATGGCATGTCCACGTCTGGTGACTCGCCCCTCTTCTCCTGGCCTCGATCTATTTTCCTCCATTCTCCCTTTAAGCCACTAACACATCTGAGCAAAACACATCAAATTCACTTGCTCCTCTCCCTCCCTCTCCTTCCATCCCCCTTCACCCTCCATGTGTTTGGTGTTAGAGGTTTTGGGGGCATTTCTGTTTGGTTTTGAGTTTTTTTCATTATTACGGGGTTTGTTTGGTATTTTTATTTTTGATTGCATGCAAATGTGAAATAGTTTTATCTTTCTCTCCTCCCTCTCTCTCTCTCTTCTCTCTTTTCCCCTGTCATCTTTCTGGGCTCCAGATATATTGGCATGACATGTCAAAGTGCAGTGTGTGCACGCTTTGTGTTTTCTTTCTCATCTTTGCTTCTCTCACAGTTGTTGGTGTGCCGTTGATTTATTTTTATTTATTTTTTCATTTATTTCCTATTTATATTTTGGTTATGAGTTATTTTCTAATTTTTTTCTTTTTTTTTTTTTTTTTTTTTTTTTTTTTTTTTTTTTTTTGGTTGTGGGTGGTGGGTGTGTGTCTCTCTAGGTACATGGCATGCACATCCATAATGTATTGAAAGTGAGATCCCTCTTCCCCCCCCCGAATGCATGATTGTCAGTGTGCCGTGAGCAAAAGAAACATAAAAAATAAAAAATACCAACCTCGTCTTCATTAGTGGTTTGTTTTTTTTTTTTTACTAACAGCCATAACTAACTGTAATCATTAAAATAAATACTAATTAATCATAAAATCAGCTAATATGAGAAATCTCTTCCAAGGACAGTTCCATTTTCTGGCCTGAATAGATGGAAAGCATCTCAATGAGTAGACTGCAGAGTCAGCCTGATGGTGCTGATATACCAGAAAGGGGAGAAGCAGATGCTGGAACATTTCCATTGTGGGTGAAGCAGACCAGAAAATGGAGCTTGGCTGAACTAAAAAAATATGTACCAAATCTCAACAAAATCCTTAATAAAACTGACATAAAAATATAGGGGACGTAACTTGTTCTGTTCAGGATTGTAAGGTCATTGCTGGGATTTTCTTTGTCCATTGTGTCCTTTGAACAGGTGACAATCTCTGTGGATGGCATCCTCACCACCACGGGCTACACGCAGGAGGACTACACCATGCTGGGCTCCGATGACTTCTTTTACGTGGGAGGGAGCCCCAGTACTGCTGATTTACCTGGCTCTCCAGTAAGCAACAACTTCATGGGCTGCCTCAAAGAGGTAACTATTTCAGATTAATCCTTGTTTCTGTGCTTTTGGTTTCTCAAAGTCATTGCTCTTTCCTGCCTTTCATTACACAATCAATGTCTTTCCCTGATGCTGAATTTTACGCTGATACTACAATAGCTCTGTAAGGATAAGCTCGTCATTCAGCTGGGCAGAAGGCATCAGCCGCAAAACTCATGGACTTATGGTCAGAATCGGACTTCTAGTGCTTGGCTTACAGAAAAAATACCCATGGTAGTCGGAGAGGTTTCTTCTGTAAGCTGTTAACCATTCAGAAGAAAGCATTACTATCTTCTAGGTACTGAGGCAATAATCATTAAAAAAATATAAATTACCTTTGATTACTAAGCATCATTTTTGGGTGAAAAAAATCAGAATCTTATTTAGGATATTTTTTTGAAGTTCTGGATTTCACCTAGGAACATTGTTAGTTGTCAATTTTCCAGGAAGAAACAAAGTTAGAATAAACCAGAAAAATGGAAGTTGAAGGTAGAAAAAAATACATGTGTAAATTATGCGAGGAGAATACAGCATGAGGATATAATGGAGACGTGGCAATAATGTGGTGTGTGGACTTGAAGTGTGCTGTGTTGGTAAGTCCTTGCAGCAGAGTTGCTGCATTGGTCAGGAGTAGTTAGCTGGCTTCCGAAACCATGTTGTCTCACACTGGCTGGCTGCCCTTCTCACACAGATAATCCACAACTTTGAGAAAATCCACACAGAGGTAATAGTGATGGGACTTCCCTGACAGTTCCTGGCAGGAACCAGAATGGTGTTCCTTGGGAAACAAAACAAAACAAACCAAACAAAAAAAAACCAAAACCAAAAAAAAAGAAAGATGAATCCTCAGCCCAAGTCCAAAGCTTGGTGCAGTTGTTTGGATGTAAGCCCTGCAGCCAGCTTTTGTCTTCTTTCCTGTCTCTTCTAATACAATTGGTGATGATCACTGTGGTTAATGGTGATACATATATTGACACCTCCAAAATGTGTTATAGAAAGCTTACTGAAAAACAAGCTTAAGTTTTCTGTCAGTCAGCTTCCTAGCTAGCCTGGAATAAGAGTTTTTTGCAAGTTTTTTTCTCCCTAATGTTTTGATTCTGTACTAGTACTGTTTTTCACAGGGTGTGGCTAGGTGGGTCTAATTTTATTTGCAGCCTGGAGGGCTGCGTCCTCTTTGTATGAACATATAATATCAGAGGGAAAGCAGAGCTGAGTTTTCATACAGGAGTCATGGAAACAGCGATGCTGAGCTAGATACTGTTCTGTGGCTGCACTGACTAACAAGTTACCGTCCCACTGATGCTCGACTCGTGGTGTCAGGGGTTGTGTGTTATGTGCCAGTCCTTTGATGTGAGTGATGGCTGTCAGAGCCTGGAACTGCTCTCCTGCCTGACCTCTGGATTAGTTAAGGGGATGCACATACGCTGGAAAAGCGCATGTGAGCGTCTCACATAGGAAATGAAACTGCCCTGCTGAATGCAAACTGTCATACAGAAATCAAATCCTTCTGTTTTCATCTATAGAGCCTTGGGCCTGATTTTCATAGGCACTGAGCATCCCAGCTTGATTGAAATCAAGAGGAGATACAGCTTCTTAGTGTCTCTTTAAATCAGGATCTTAATTTTATTTATGGATGCTATGAACATAACACTTAGCAGAGGCCATTTTTATGTGTGCTTTAAGTCAAGCCAATGGAGCAGAGAAAGCGGTGACAAGAAAATCTTCAGCAGCTTTATTATTTATATAATCATTTGTATTCTATTAGCTTGCACAATGTGCGAAGAGCCGCTTACATAGCCATCCCAGGCTCATAATGCTCCCTGAGAAGAAAACCCAAGCAGGCACTTAAGAATGAGAGGAAGAGGAAGAAAACAGATAATCAGAATGTGCTTTGTAATCTTCACTTGACTAGGCAGTGACAGGAGATGTGTATGAGCAGCTGTCTTGACTTAAAGACAGGCTGGTGCTGGCTGGGTTTGAGTACTGCAGTCTGCTTAATAGCAACCTGCTCGTAGTAGTGGCCCAGTAATGCTTTCAGCTGCTGTAGAAATGTGCCCTAAATGTACCTTGCCTGGCCTCTGAGGACGAATCCAGTATACGCTGTTCACTAAATGTAAGTGTATTGCAGGGTTGTTGGGTGAGGCACCTGGAAACGGGATGAATGGAGAAATATAATATTCCAAAAGGGAAGCCATGTTACTAACTAGCACTTTGCACATCCATTCTGTCATTCCTCCAGACCCCTTAGGCTGCAGGATGAGTTACCACAGGTATCACTAGGACTTGTAAGGAAGCGGACCATTGTGCTTTTCCTCAGTTCTGACTTGGCAAGTGGAGGTGATGGGGAACTGCGGTTAATGGAGAAAGAGCGGCCCTAGACAGCTGTCACAATCCTGACAAAATCCAGAAGTGCTGCCGTAACACCGATACCTGCACAGAGTGGGGTCTGATAGCCGGTATAGGCTGGGAAGTGTTCTCATTGCATATGTAGTGAGTTATTCTCAGACATCAAAGCAGGCAGTGCTTTCATTAAGTGGAGCTTTGGATGAGTTGAGCAGAAAATAGCTGGCCTCGTGAAATTCCTCCCAGCGTTTGTTTCCTCTTTGTTCCTTTGCTAGGGATGAAAACACTAATGGCAAAGTAGCAGGATCAACCTGAGATCCACCTGCAATTAGGGGATGGTTCTTTTGAGTGTTTTCTTTGTTTTACTTCTGAAATGCCAGCGTATATCTGTGCAATGCAATGCAGCATGGTATGAAAGAAATCTGAGCTGGTTTGAGAAAGCTAGAATGCCTGTGGGGATCAGCCTGACCCCTGGGGCTTTGATCGAGCTTTGATCCTTGAAGAGGCAGAACCGGGTTAGTGCAGTCTTTGCATCTCTATAATGTTTCTGGTTCCAGAACTGGCTACAGGGAACTTTACTTGGCTCTTTTCATAGCATGGCAGTGTGTTTCATAAATCAATCCCTATAGGTTATGTTTTAATTTTTTTTCTCTGTGGCCAAGAAGGATGCTTAGTCTCTCATCTGCCAGTATTGGAGGAGCTTGAGCTTTTGAGAAAAATATTTTAAACTAAGAAAGTTAGACAAAGCGGTAGGATAGACTGTAATAGGAAATATTGTTCCTTTTCATTTATGCTTTCTGGTAGAGCAAAGCTCTCTTTTCCTACCAAAGTCCTAGCTATGCACTTGCCTATTCCCAGAGACGTTGCGCATCCCGAGTGGATTGCACTGCTCTTTGTAATGGTGAAGAATGTCATGCCAAATGCCGTACTGATCTCTTGAAGGTGTTAAGGCAGAACGGTCTATTCCTACTCCTCTGCATTCATTGAAGACTTCCTCTAAGGATGTCTTACTTTCCTAGGAAGGCAAAGGGATTGATGCAGGCTTTGGGGTGAAACTTTCAGCCTTCCCCCTTAGTCTCTCTTGTTTCATCTGGACTGCATCAGCCTCACAGTGCAGCAACCAAACTGCTCACGTGGGAGCCGAGAGGGCTCCTCGGCTGGAGCATTGCCTTCCCATTTCCTCTGAGATTATGTGCAGGTGCTGAAGTGCGGTGGGGCAGAGTGCCGAAGGACCCTCTCTGCCCCTTTGCAGCTGGGCAGGACTTCTCCACTCAGCTGGGGTTGGTGGTAGGAGGAGGGGCAGCTCTGGCAGAGGGTAGACATTTCATGTAGTCAGAGTCTAAGCCTTGACTAGGAGGAACTGCAATGCGTAAGTGTGTGTACCCGGCAAGGAACTAGGGGTCTTGGGGCTCCTCTGCTGTGGTATCTAAATAAGTTGTGGTGAAGGTAACCATGTTTTCTTTGAATTTTCTGAGTTAATGTTTCTTCCTTTCACCACAGAGTAGATCCTCCTGCCTCTTCTTTTCCTTGTGGCTAAAGGTTCTGACTGAAAAAACTCTACTAAGTTGCTAGCAGTAATATACCTAAATCATAAATCCAATTGCTGAATTTGTAGTTCAGGTTGTTTTTTTTCTCCATTTTCATCATAATTAAAGATGTCCCAGTGTCTGGTAGCACTGTTAGTTTTACATTTCTCCGTAGCCATCCTGGCAATGTTGCAGTGTACCTGACACTGTAACGAGGGAGCAAGACTGGAAAATAGAAGTGACTTTTTCCGTGAAAATTTTAAAAGGCACAATATGCAAATAGGGCAGTACACAGACATCAGACGGTAATTGCGTAAAATCTAAGGCTTTCTGGGCCTTCAGTCTGATAAATTGTTCTAGAAGAAGGCCAGGGGGAAGCTGGTGTATTTTCTATCGTGAAGGAAACCAGATCCAGAGATGGGATAAGAGGAAGTACAGAAGCACATCTAAGACAAGTGAGCAGAAATGGTTTTTAATCAATGTCAGGGAAGGAGTGACAATGCTTTAAGAGTCAGTGAATGGATAAACAGGCAGAAGCACTGCCTGAAGGTGGAAAGGGAAAAGGATCCATTAATATTTTTTAGACACACCCATATGGCCAGAAGGAAGTAGGATAAGAAAGGTAATGACAAACAGCTGTGTTTTGCATGTACTGGAGAGTCTCAGGGATGAGATTCCAGTGTTCAGGCATGGAGATGAGAGTGGTTGGGTGGGAAATTTAGTTGTGTAGGCAAAGAGTGGAAAACTGGATCTCAGTTTCCAATCACTAGGGGAAGGAGGGAATCGGAATTTTTCCTAGGCTCTATTAGGGAGCCAGCCATTCAGATTAGATTTACTTGGAGCAGTACTTAGATGGTACAGATGGAGGTGCTTTAGAAGAGCCTAAGGTGGTCCTTAGAGAATGGATATGCGTGAGAGAATTTATGAAATCTTCACATTTTTCTATCAATGCTTTATTAAAATCTCCATTCTGAAAAATGTTGATTGGTACTAACAGCTTGATGGAAGCGGCGAGGTTTGCATATGGGCGGAATATGGCAGAAATTATTGCAGGGGTCAGGCACCATCTGGCCGTGATGGGAGAAAGCTGTGAAAGCTTAGATCATTTCTGTCTGCAATTTGACT